GATACATAATCTACTGAGCCACCCAGGTGCCCGTAGGCAGTCATATTTTATTTTATTTTATTTTTAATATTTTTATTTATTTCTAGGAGAGAGAGAGAGACAGCGTGAGCAGGGGAGGGTCAGAGAGAGAGGGAGATACAAACTCTGAAATAGGCTCCAGGCTCTGAGCTGGCAGTCAGCACAGAGCCCGACGCGAGGTTCGAGCCCACGAACTGCGAGATCATGACCTAAGCGAAAGTCGGACACTTAACTGACTAAGCCACCCAGGTGCCCCGGCAGTCATATTTTATTTTATTTTTTTAATTTTTTTTTTTTTCCAGGAGAGAGAGAGAGAGAGAGACAGCGTGAGCAGGGGAGGGTCAGAGAGAGAGGGAGTCACAGACTGAAACAGGCTCCAGGCTCTGAGCTGGCAGCACAGTGCCCGACGCGGGGCTCGAACCGACGAACCGTGAGATCATGACCTAAGCGAAAGTCGGACGCTTAACCGACTAAGCCACCCAGGCGCCCCCCGGCAGTCATATTTTAAATAGCAAGACTTGAGTACCTTTATATATATCCTTCTTAGAGCCTTAACTCAGACTTTGGGCTGTTATTACAATAACTTGAGTGTTATCCTAAACGTGGAGAAGGGAAGGAAAACAATACAGCTGACATTTGAGCAACACAGTATGAACTGTGCTTCTCCATTTATATGTGGATTTTTACAGTACAGTACTGCAAATGTGTTTTCTCTTATGATTTTATAGTAACATTTTCTTCAGCTTTTTTGTGAGAATACAGTAGGTAAAATATATAATGTACAAAATAGGTATTAATAGACTATGTTATCAGAAAGGGTTCTGGTCAACAGTAGGCTTTTAGTAGTAGAGTTTGGAGGGAGCCAAAAGTTATACCCAGATTTTCAACTGCATGGGGGATCTGCATCCCTAATTCCTGTGTTGTTCAAGGGCCAACTATAGTTCGTTGTTTTGCTTTCGATGTCTGTTAATTTAGTAATGGAGCTGGGGCTAGAACCCAGATTTCTTTCCTAATTCCAAATATGTGCTCTGTTTCAGCATCATTAGGTAAAATTGTTCTAATTTGAATTATTCCTATTCTAGCCTTTTGAGTGGTTACAGCACTGAATTGCTGCCTTAAAATCCTAGGGGCGCCTGGGTGGCTCAGTCAGTTAAGCGTCCAACTTTGGCTCAGGTCATGATCTCACGGTTCGAGCCCCACGTTCGGCTCTGTGCTGACAGCTAGCTCAGAGCCTGGAGCCTGTCTTTTGATTCTGTGTCTCCCTGTCTCTGACCCTCGCCTACTCACACTGTCACTATCTCTCTCTCAAAAAATAAATAAAACATTTAAAAATATAAAATAAAATCCTTCTAATTTCTTTAGTTTTCTTTTAAGCTGCGGAGTTAGCTAAAATTATGACTAATCCTGATATTGAAGGGTGTGAGAAAATGGCCAAACTTTGTAATTTTATATATTTATTATATAACAAATGCAAGGTACTTGCTATAGGCCAGAAGTGGTTTTAAGTTCTTTATAAGTGTTGACTTAATTAATCCCCACAGCAATACCTTGAGATAGGTAGTATTATTGTTCCTGTTTTACTGATTAGGAAACTAAAGCACAGAAAGATTAAATGACTTGGCTAGTGTCACACAGCTAATAAGTGGCAGAGAAGGGCAATAGAAACAGAATATACTAGCTTTATTCTGTAACTACATAGCCAAGCTATCCATACACTAATGTTGCTTTGCAAATTGGAAATCTGGCCAAGAAGTGTTGCTGATGGAGATTAGGGACAGTTGAGATCAGCCCTCTAAGCTACTCCTGAGGCTCCTTGCATTAAATGGCAAAGACACTCACCACAAAGGAAATTAAGACTGCTGATGTTGGAAGTGGAGTGATAGTTTGGTTCTAAGTTTCTTTTCCTATGCATTCTCGTAAAGTAGCGTTCATATAAATAGATCTATGAGGGGCGCCTGGGTGGCTTAGTCGGTTGAGCGTCCGACTTTCGCTTAGGTCATGATCTCGCTGTTCGTGGGTTCGAGCCCCGCGTCGGGCTCTGTGCTGACTGCCAGCTCAGAGCCTGGAGCCTGTTTCAGTCTGTGACTCCCTCTCTCTCTGACCCTCCCCTGTTCACGCTGTCTCTCTCTCTCTCTCCTAGAAATAAATAAAACATTAAAAAATTTTAAAAATAAATAAATAAATAAATAAATAAATAAATAGATCTATGAAATGACTAACTGAAGGGGCAGTGATGACCCAGTTGAGTCCTTTAAATGATGTTGCATTCTCAGCATTTTTAGGTGATCTTCCATCCTTTCTTTCTGATTTCCTCTTTTTTGTTTTTTGTTTATCTTGAAGTAAAAGAAGAGAGCAGCTCATTGATACTAGCAGTTCCCTCTCACAAGGGGGAAAGAAGCTGTTTTATGTTGATGTTTGTGGAAGAAAAGCTTCCGACCGGGGGTGGGGGGGGATTCCATTTTCATCTTAAGATATGGACACTCACTCAGTAGAGCTTGGATAGAAGGAAGCTTGTTTATTTGAAGGAAGCTTGTTTATTTGTTTATTCTTTAGTTTGAGAGATAGAGTCGGAGAGAGAGAGTCTTAAGCAGGCTTCATGCCCACAACAGAGCCCGATGTGGGGCTAGAATCCCACAACCCTGAGATTATGACCTGAGCTGAAATCAAGAGTTGGTCACTCAACGGACTGAGCCACTCAGGCGCCTGAAAAATTTTAATTTTAAGTAATCTCTACACCCAGCCTGGGGCTCAAACTCACCATGTTGAGATCAAGAGTTGCATGCCCTTCTGACTAAGCCTGCTGTATAGAAACTTAAAGATGCGGGGCGCCTGGGTGGCACAGTCGGTTGAGCATCTGACTTCAGCTCGGGTCATGATCTCACAATTGTGAGTTCGAGACCCACATTGGGCTCTGTGCTGATAGCTCAGAGCCTGGATCCTGCTTCAGATTCTGTGTCTCCCTCTTTTTCTGAGCCTCCCCACCACTTGAGCTCTGTTGTGTCTCACCCTCTCTCAAAAGTAAATAAACATTAAAAAAATTTTTTTAATTAAAAAAAAACTTAAAGATGATTTAAAAATGGGAAAATTGCCATTATGGAGAGATTTTTAACTTCTTTCTTCTCTCAGATGATATGTTCCCCTGTAACCTTTTTATTTATTTATTTATTTATTTTTAATTTATTTCTGAGAGGGAGAGAGAGAGACAGTGTGACCACACGGGGGTCAGAGAGAGGGAGACGCAGAATCTGAAGCAGGCTCCAGGCTCTGAACTAGCCTTCAGCACAGAGCCTGACGTGGGGCTCGAACTCACGTAATGTGAAGTCATGACCTGAGACGAAGTCAGACGCTTAACCAACTGAGCCACCCAGGCGCCCCCCCTGTAACCTTTTTAGAAACTAAACCAAACCACAACAATAACCAACCACCCACAATTAAAAGATCTGCTACAGGACTGGGGTAGTCTCTGGGAGGTAGCCCTTCTGTAACAGGGGATCTGTGGGACCATGGAGCATGGAATAGAACTTATTCACGTGTTTTCCTTTGTTCACTTTTTGGTGACTAGTAAGAAAAAGTAAACATATTTCTTAGGTGCTAGGTCAAGTTCCCATTTGCCCCATGTTGGGTGAAGAGGCTAAAGACCTGTTTGTGCTGCCTACTTCTTGCCCAAATGGTCCTCAGTGAGCCAGAGGAGACTCTTTAGGAAGTTAATGAAAGGAGTTAAGGACAGTCCTGGTTAACAAGCTGAGGCAGTCCCCCTCTGTTTAATTAATTAATTTGTTTTTAATGTTTGTTTATTTTTGAGAGAGAGAGACAGAGTGTGAGTGGGGGAGGGTCTGAGAGAGAGAGAGATACAGAATTTGAACCAGGCTTCAGGCTCCAAACTGTCCACAGAGCCCTTTGTGGGGCTCGAACTCATAAATGGTGAGATCATGACCTGAGCCAAAGTCGGACACTTAACCGACTGAGCCACCCAGGCACCCCGGTTCCCCCTCTGTTTTAGGAACATAGCTTACATTGTACTCCGAATTTAGCTTTGGATTGATTTTTTTTCTTTTTTAACAAGTTGATTCTTTTGAAAATAACCTTTATTGAAGGATCTCTTCCCTTTGAAGTTCTCCCTTACTCCCCAACAGAAAGACAGGTACTAAATTATAAAAAAAAAACTCCAGTCCTACTGAATTCTCATATAGGCATGTAGTGTTTTGGAATTTATACAATACTATTGCTTCAAATGATTTTCAGTGTAATCAGCAATGCAATAGTTACAAGAAAAAGTGTATCTGGCCTTTTGGCAAAAGGAAGAAAGGTGTGATCTTGCTCCTGGATTAGTTTGTGTGTATGTGTAATCTTTTTAGTTTGGAAAGTGCTTTCTTTGTAATTATCATTATAATTATCACAAGAGAATCCTGTGAGATTGTGTGGTGAGTATTTAACACCAGTTTTATAATGAGGGAAATGAGGCTTACACTATCTTATCTTCAAAATAATGTGCAGAAAAGTTAATCTTGTCAAACTTCATACATAGGCACTTAGTAGTGTAATTGGTTTTCTTTTTTCAAAAGTAGCGTTGAACTTTATGTTGCAACTCAGCAATCTTCTCATAGAAAGTAATTTTTCTTTTGGGGAGAAAAAATCTCTCTAAACAAAGAAAACCTAGGATAGCTACACAGCTTACCTTTATAGTGAAGGTTGCCTTGAATCTCAGACCTGTGTATATGGTTCTAAAGTATATCTTTAAAAATTCCTTTAGTATAGGTATGTAGATGATAAACTCAGCTTTTGTTTATCTAAAATGTCTTTATTTCACCCCCTTTGTTAAGATTTTTTTCCTCATCTAGATATACAACTCTAGCTTAATAATTATTTTCTCTCAGTACTTAGGAGAAGAGAATTTTCCAGTTTTCTAGTTCCCCAAAGCTGTTGTTGCATAGTCTGTCAGTTGTTACATCGTAGATGTTCTGTCTTCTGTGTGCTTTTTCCAGGAACCTTTGAAGTAGTGTCGTGAAAGGCTGCCTCTGCCTGTGGGCTCTCCTAGACTGGAGAGGTTGAAGTGCTGCCAAAAGACTAGGTGCTGGACAGAGCTTACTGCAGGGTTAAGTAGTTGATCAGTTTCCTCATTTGCTTTTCTCAGGGCCACTCAGAACTATTGACAGCTAGATTGGGATGGCCTGTGTACTCTAACAACTGCCTCTCTGACCTTTTCTGTGCCTAACCAAGCCCAGCACTGAAATCCAGATAATGAGAAAGAATCTCTCCCCAGGGAATGCTATTAAAGCTATGGATGCAAGAAGCAGAATTAAATCTGCTACTGCCTCCAGACTAGGAACTCTTTCAAAGCTGTACAGGGCCTTTTACAACTTTTTTTCATGTCAGACTGTCCTTAGAGGCTAAGATGGAGAGACTGAGAGAGGATGAGTCGCTATAACAACTTCCTGTTAATACATAGGAAGGAGGAGTAACTGTTGCTTAAGGTTTTGTGTTTTCTTTACAGAATGCATCCTGTCTTGTTCTTGCTGCTCGGCATGCCAGTGCTTCCACTACGGTAAGGTTTGGAAAAGAGGACAAAGAATTATTGAGGCAATCTGATCCTGGGATTGAGGGGGCGGTAAGCAGCAGTTGGTTACCACCTAGCCTCTCATATATCTTGAGTATCTCTGAGAGGTGTCTGTTGTTACTGTTATTGTAACTATTATTATTGCTACTATTTAAGTGTATAGGTTAGTGGCATTAAGTACAACTATCATTACTATCCATCTCCAGAACTTTTGCACCTTCCCAAATTGAAACTCTGACCCAATAATAACTCCTCATTCCTCTCCCTTTCTGTTTAATTCTTTTCCACTCATCTGTGCAGAATAGTTGGCCAGATTTCCCTGGCAGATTGAGAAAGCCAAATTCTAAAAAGATGTCTTAACATACCTACTTTGTAGGAAATCTAATCAACATTTTGACCATCACTTAGCCTTTCTACTTCTCCTTTTAGAATCTGAAAGACATATTGGCAGATATGATACCCAAGGAGCAAGCCAGAATAAAGACCTTCAGGCAGCAACATGGCAAGACAGTAGTGGGCCAAATCACTGTGGACATGGTAAGAGTTGTGGGGTTTGGCTGGAAAAAGTAGCTCCATAATGTACTTCAACAAAAATACCATTCTCTTCACTGACTGTTCAGAAGCATTCTGTCCCATATGTGGAAACAGTGGAGCTTAAGACGTTCATTAGAATTTGACTGTTCTGGGGTGCCTAGGTGGCTCAGTCAGTTGAGCATCTGACTCTTGATTTTGGTTCAAGTCATGATCTAGGGTCACGGGATCAAACCCCATGCTGGGCTCTGCACTGTCTCTTTCTCCCTCTCACTCCCCTGCTCATGCTCACTCTTTTTCTCTTAAAAAAAAAAAAATTAGACTGTTCTTCTCTATAAATTTAATAGTTGAGCTTAACCTAATTTAAGTATGGGGAGGGATGAATGAAGTTTCTATTCCTTTTCTCAGCCCTTCAGCTTTTGGGGCCAGAGCTGTCTGTTAGGGTTAATGCCATCCATGGGGTGCCTGGGTGGCTCAATCATTTCAGCATCCAACTTCAGCTCAGGTCATGGTCTCACAGCTCATGAGTTCGATCCCCACATCAGGCTCTGTGCTGACAGCTCAGAGCCTGGAACCTGCTTCATATTCTTTTTTTTTTTTTTTTAATGTTTAATTTATTTCTAGGAGAGAGAGAGAGAGAGTGTGAGCAGGGGAGGGTCAGAGAGAGAGGGAGTCACAGACTGAAACAGGCTCCAGGCTCTGAGCTAGCAGTCAGCACAGAGCCCGACGCGGGGCCCGAACCCACAAACCGCGAGATCATGACCTAAGCGAAAGTCGGACGCTCAACCAACTAAGCCACCCGGGCGCCCCTCAGCTTCATATTCTGTCTCCGTGTGTCTGTCTGTCTGTCTGTCTCTGTCTCTCTCTCTCTCTGTCTCTCAAATATAAAATATAAATAAACATTAAAAAAATTTAAACTTAGAGTTAATGCCATACTGACCATCTAGCTATACCACGGATCTAGCAGGCTCTCTAGAAGAACTTTAAGATGGCTTCTTCTCCAGCCCTAAGAGTCTGAGCAGCTCAAATGGTAACTCCACAGCAGTGTTTAGCCTTTGGTCTCTATCTTTCTTCCCTGTTATAAAACTCATTCTGTTTACTTTGGTTGATGAGAATGAGAGGGTAAGAGTGGGTAGAAGAAAAATACAAGAGGGGCACTTGGGTGGCTCAGTCAGTTAAGCGTCCATCTTCAGCTCAGGTCATGATCTCATGGTTTGTGAGTTCTAGCCGCGCATTAGACTCCATGTGGACACCTCAGAGCCTGGATCCTGCTTCAGATTCTGTGTCTCTGTCTCTCTCTGCCCCTCCCCTACTTCTGCTCTGTCTCTCTCTCTCTCTCTCAAAAATAAAACATTTTAAAAAAAAATACAAGAAGAAAAGGAAACAGAGTCAGACACCTTAAATAAAGATAGCAATTTTTCAACTTAAAAATTTCATTCCCAATGTTAGCCCTCTTCCTTGCAAAGTCCCATTTTATAGTATGTTACCTCCTCAGGAATCTTCTTTCCACAGATGAAGTCTTGCAAATCAGAGAATAAATTTCCCCTTTCAGACCCCATGAAGCACTAACAAGCTCTAGTCTGAATTATTCTGATTACTGGTTATATCTGTCTTTTTCTTTAGATGTATGGTGGCATGAGAGGCATGAAGGGATTGGTTTATGAAACATCAGTTCTTGATCCTGATGAGGTAAGAGACCTTCATGTCAATCACTACTAATTGCTGAGTTAATGACTATTGTGCACAGCATGGATTAGACCAGTGAAGGTAAGGAAAACAAAATAAAGCATCTGCCTTCATGTTTTGGAAGATGGAAAATAGGTTCATATAGGATAACTGAAGAACAAGTATACGTATTTAATATATCAATGATTAAAACTAAAAGTATCAAGCAGAATTAAGTTATGTGGAGATCTAAGCTTTAAAAATTATATTCTAGGGCTATCTGGGCAGCTCAGTCAGTAGAGTTTCCAACTCGATCTCACAGTCGTGAGTTCAAGCCCCGCTTTGGGCATGGAGCCTTTCTAACTTGTTGAAAGATCTGTTAAGAGTGGGACTAGTCAATTATGTGACTTCTAGGCTAATAAACTTAAGATTTGTACCTCTTCCCTCTCAAGGGCATCCGTTTCCGAGGCTACAGTATCCCTGAATGTCAGAAACTGCTGCCCAAGGCTAAAGGAGGTGAAGAACCCCTGCCGGAGGGCTTATTTTGGTTGCTGGTAACTGGACAAATCCCAACAGAGGAACAGGTAAAGCAGAAGGGTATTAGTCCTTCTCATTCTCCTCCTACTTTGCCTTTCTCTAATCTCGGACACTTAATCCTGATCTGTCTCTGGGTGGTAGTTTTTAAAGATGTATAGTGAGGGGAAGGAATCAGAACAGACTTCTGCTGTATAAGTGGATTGGGTTGTATTCTCTTGGATTTTCTTCACTCAGATGTCACTGTCTTTTTATTTCTCTTCTTATTCCTCACCTAGTGTTCTGACTAATGTCTCCCTTTCCACAGGTGTCTTGGCTTTCAAAAGAGTGGGCAAAGAGGGCAGCTCTACCTTCCCATGTTGTCACCATGCTAGACAACTTTCCCACCAATCTACACCCCATGTCTCAGCTCAGTGCAGCCATTACAGCCCTCAACAGTGAAAGTAACTTTGCCCGAGCATATGCAGAGGGTATCAACCGAACCAAGTACTGGGAGGTATGAAATTTTGATGCAATGATTGATGTGTGTTGAGGATTCAAGGGACTTCAGTAAGACGGAAGAAAAAGGAATGTTTTGGAGAATTACTTCGCTGAGTTATGCCAGAAACTCCTTTAATAAATTTTTATTTTAGGCTTGTTTTTTTTTTTTTTCAGTCCTTGATCGCAAAGATAAATGGAGCACGCTTTGTATCACCAAGGTTATCGGTTTGGTTAGGGTGATATACATGTAAAAAAAACTACAATTTAGGAGGCACTTGGATGGCATCTGACTCTTGATCTCAGTTCAGGTATTGATCTTGCGATCATGAGTTCAAGCCCTGCATTGGGTTCTGTGCTGGGCGTGACGCCTACTTAAAACAAAAACTACAATTCTTGCTGTAATCTTGCTGTAATAGATTACACGAGCTGTTGGAAAACTGAAAAGGATGTGACTTAATTGCAGGATCCCTGAGGAAGATTTCAGAGTAGTCTTACCCTAGCCCAAAATGTCCCTTCTTGTTCTTAACTTCAAATAAGGAGAACCTTGAGAAGTTTGGTGAATGGAAACTAAAGCAGTTCTAGAGTCCAGAAGGACTGAGGCCAGTTAGCCACAGTTCTGTACTGTCCTGCTCAAAATACCCGTCAGTAGCAGAAGGGTCATTAGTATCTTGGAAATCGGATCCAGAAACAAATGAGCTTTATTTTTTGAGAATGAAATGTTTGAACTGGTCAGAGTATAAGAAGACTGTTGTGCCTTGTCCCAACATATGGTACATAATTCCTTCCATCCTCTTTCTAATACCCCACATAGTACTCAGAAAAACTCTGTAAATTACAAGTTAACTGGCTTGGTTTACTGTAGGACATCTCATTTTCTTTTTCTTATTTGGAGACAGGTGATATAGGAACAGAATGGTTCCTTTTTGCAGAATAGCATGACCCACTGGTCTGATGCAATTCCCTTGGCGTTTTGGCAAATCCTGCTTCATTTGGTTGGTCAATATTTACTCAATGCCAACTGTGTATAAAAAATTGTATTTGTTAGTAGGGGAAAGGGGGAAGGAGAGTTTTAAATTAGTCTGGTTAGCATTGAGAAGGAAGGTATAGGGGTGCCTGGGTGGCTCAGTTGGTTAAGTGACCAACTCTTGATTTCGGCTCAGGTCATGATCTCACAGTTCATGGGTTCAGGCCCCACATCAGGCCCTGTGCTGATGGTGCAGAGGCTGCATGAGAATATCTCTTTCTGCCTCTTCAGAGCTCGCTCTCTCTCTCTCTCTCTCTCCCCCTTTCAAAATAAATAAGCATTTAAAAAAAAGAGAGAAGGAAGGTATAGGAAGGATGGAAAATATACACATTCATAAGCACTTAAAGAATTTATAAAGCCATATATCAGCACATTCAGAAGATTGTATAATCTGAATATATTGCTTTCCATTTTCTCTAATGTGTGTGTGTGTGTGTGTGTATATATATATATATTTCTTAATGTTTATTTAATTGGAGAGAGAGAGGGAGAGAGAGAATTCCAAGCAGGCTCTGCACTGTCAGCACAGAGCCCAGTGTGAGTCTCAAACTCATGAAACATAAGATCATGATCTGAGCCAAAATCAAGAGTCAGTGCTTAACCACTGTGAGCCACCCAGGCACCCCTCCATTTTCTTTTTTAAATGCTATTCAAGTAATTGTTATTTGTGTGGGTCATCATAACAGAAAAGGTTAAATCAAGACCAACAGTTCTTCTACTTTAAAACTTGTCTTTTAGGGGTGCCTGGGTGGCTCAGTTGATTAAGCGTCTGACTCTTGGTTTTGGCTGAGGTCATGATCTTGTAGTTTCGGGAGTTTGAGCCCCGCGTTGCGCTCTGCACTGCCAGCAGGGAGCCTGCTATAAAAAATAAATAAATAACTTGTCTTTTAGAAATTGGCCACTCAGATGTGCCTGTAATTGTTTACAATGCTGTTGTCTTGACTGTAATGAGAAGGGGAGAAAAATAGCTTCTTCATACTTTACAGTAGATGGCCTGTAAGACATTCTGGCGCATCCAAACATGCTTCATTGCTTCATACTGTTCTTTATTGAATCATCAAAATGAATCTTGTACTCCTTTGCTTGCTGTTGCCTCCTTTTCAACATGTGGCCATTGACTGATTGTTCTGCCTTAATTTCTTTGAGTTGTCATCTGAGGATGGCTGTCTTGAGGTAAACATGTTATATTTCAGGACTCTGCCAATCTTTGGGAGAATATTTATAAGCAGTACTGATACATTTGCCAACCTTAGGATGTGTGTCTGGTAAGTTCACACTGCACAAAAATTAGCACCAGTAACTAGTTTAGTAGAGGTTCATGCACTTTTGCTGTTACATCATGTGTCTCTCTCAAAAGTCAGACACACTATTTCTAATCAGTTCTCTGTCTTGGTTAATTTAACCATAGGCTACTTAAGTAGAAATACATGGCATCATTCAGCTGGTTATTTCTGTTTAAAAATTTATGTTGGGGAGCAACCGACTGGGTGGCTCAGTCAGTTAAGTGTCCAACTTCGGCTTAGGTCATGATCTTGTGGTTCACAAGTTGAGCCCTGCATCAGGCTCTGTGCTGACAGCTTGGAGCCTGGAACCTCTTTTGGATTCTGTCTCCTCCTCTCTCTGCCCCTACCCTGCTCACATGCTCTGTCTCTCATTGAAAAATAATTAAAGAGGGGCGCCTGGGTGGCTCAGTTGGTTAAGTGTCCAACTTTCGCTTAGGTCATGATCTCGCGGTTCGTGGGTTCGGGCCCCGCGTCGGGCTCTGTGCTGACTGCCAGCTCAGAGCCTGGAGCCTGTTTCAGTCTGTGACTCCCTCTCTCTCTGACCCTCCCCTGCTCATGCTGTCTCTGTCTCTGTCTCTCCTAGAAATAAATAAAAACCTTAAAAAAAAAAAAAAAAAAAGAAAAAGAATTAAAGATTTAAAAATTTTTTTAATTTTTTTTTTTTTAATTTATTTTTGAGAGAGAGAGAGCACACATGTGAGTAGTGGAAAAGCAGAGAGAGAGGAAGACAGAGGATCTGAGACAGGATCTGTGCTGACAGCAGTGAGCCCAAAGCAGGGCTTGAACTCACAAACTGCAAGATAATGACCTGAGCCAGTCAGATGCTCAACCCATTGAGCCACCCAGGTGCCCCCAAAAAATTTTTTTTAAATTTATGTTGAGTTTATGTATGATCTGAGTTTTTACTAGAACCATTAGTTCATACTGTTGTTGTTTTTTAACATATACATCAAGAGGATGATCTACAGCCTACAACATTTCTTCCATAACAGAGAGAAATAATATAATCTATTGAGTTGAAAAAGTTAGGTCTTTTTCTGAGTGACTTAACTCATGACCAGGAGATTACAGTGATGCAGTTAGCTATTTAATTGTGAAGTACCCTTAAGATACTGTATTAAGTAAAATTTGCAAAGTACCTGACCCATCAAGTTTTACTAGTAATGCCATCTTTTGTAAAGCCTAAAAACGGTATACAGAGGTTTTGAAGCTTTTATGATAAAATCATCTGAATACCTAATATTTCTTGAAAACATGCCAAATAGTGTGCTTAAATGCTTTACATTCATTACTGATTTAATCCTCAGAACAACCCTGTGAGGTAGATATTATTTGTTACTCTCATTTTACTGAATGGAAAAACTGAGGATTAGAGCTATGAAATAGCTTACCCATGTCATGCAGTTAATAAGTGGTAGAGACCAGATTCAGACTTGAGTTTGCTTCACTTTAGGGGCTCTCTTCTTTTTCTGTGTCATCTCAATAGTGGTTGATTGCTGGGATGTCTGGGTGGCTTAGTCAGTTAAGCATCTGACTTTTGATTTTGACTCAGGTCCTGATCTCTTCATTCATGAGATTGAGCCCTGCATTGGGCTCTGCACTACCAGTGCAGAGCCTGCTTGGGATTCTCTCTCTCTCTCTCTCTCTCTCTCTCTCTCTCTCTGCACCCCCCTCCCACTCCTGCTATCTCTCTTTCTCTCTCTCTCAAAATAAATAAACTTTAAAATAAGAATAGTAATAATAATAATGATTGATTGCTAACTGCCTGACCAGGATTTTACTATCCATAGAGATGCTGGCTCATGATGATGATGATGATGATGATAAGTTGGTGGTCAGTTTTATAACCTTTATTCCAGATAGTTGTGATGTTGGCATATTTTAACATTTTTTCCCCAAGGCTTTATCAATGAAGAATGTGTTGTACAAATAGCTAAATAGCACCTCAGTCTTAGCTTATTGAAGAAGAAATAGCAGGAGTTCTCTGTCAGTTTTTGTTTTGTTTTGTTTTGATCTCTCCTTGACTGTACAACATTGACCACTGCAAAAAGCAGTATAAGGATCCCATATTGTTATGCCTGGTCTGTTGTTTTATAAACTTCATTCTCAATACTAGAAGATGACACAATCTCCTTTATGTGGCTTCTTTTTGATGTAGCCATTCATATTTTCCAAATAGTTTTGCAAGTTAGTATATACACCACAGATAATAATTTATCTTCCCCAGGATCCTTTCCTTCTTGCCATTCTGCTAATCAGTCTAGGTCTCTTAGAACTGCATATACTCGATGCAGGCTTCCGGAAGCAGCCTACTTCCTTGGGGGTTATAAATCTGCAAGGAAGTATGGTTAATAGTATGATTGTCATGTAAGTAATCTCTTGAGAATTTGCAATTGTTAGCTGAGTATTTCTTGTTTCAAGTAGCTTTTTTTTTTTATTTTTATTTTTTTAAATATTTTTATTTATTTCTAGGAGAGAGACAGCGTGAGCAGGGGAGGGTCAGAGAGAGAGGGAGACACAGACTCCGAAATAGGCTCCAGGCTCTGAGCTGGCAGTCAGCACAGAGCCCGATGCAGGGCTCGAACTCACGAACTGCGAGATCATGACCTAAGCGAAAGTCGGACGCTTAGCCGACTAAGCCACCCAGGCGCCCCTCAAGTAGCTTTTTAAGGGGCGCCTGGGTGGCCCAGTTGGTTAAGCGTCCGACTTCAGCTCAGGTCATGATCTCACGGTTTGTGGATTCGTGGGTTCAAGCCCCATGTCAAGCTCTGTGCTGACAGCTAGCTCAGAGCCTGGAGCCTGTCTTCACACTCTCTGTCTCCCTCTCTCTCTGACCCTCCCCTGTTCATGCTGTCTCTCTTTCTCTCTATCAGAAATAAATAAAACTTTAAAAAAATTTTTTAAGTAGCTTTTTAATTTGGCAATATTCTTTTTTTAGTATATTTTTTATTTATTTTTTTATAAAATTTTTTAATGTTTTATTTATTTTTGAGAGAGAGAGATAGAGACCGCATGAGCAGGGGAGGGTCCGAGAGAGAGGGAGACACAGAATCCGAAGACAGACTCCAGGCTTTGAACTAGCTGTCAGCACAGAGCCCAACGCGGGGCTCAAACCCACGATCCGTGAGATCATGACTTGAGCTGAAGTCAGACGTTTAACCGACTGAGCCACCCAGGCACCCCTTAGTATATTCTTTAAATGTTTACTTGCTTTTGAGAGAAAGAGAGCAGAGGAGGGGCAGAGAGAGAGGAAGACAGAATCCCAAGCAGGCTTCACACTCTCAACACAGAGCCTGATGTAAGGCTCGAACTCATTAACCATGAGATCATGACTTGAGCCAAAATACAGAGTCAGATGCTTAAACTGAGCCACGAGGCACCCTTAATTTTGGCAGTATTCATATTGAATTTAGTAGCATTTACAGAATTCACTGAATATATATATATATATATATATATTTATAGTTAACTTAATATTAGATATTTGAGTAATACATTTTTTTTAAGTTATTTAAAAAAAGAAAACAAAATACCAAAACCCTGTCTTGTCCCTAAGGAACTTAAAATTCCCTTTGAGAAGATAAAATTGACACACAAGAAGAGTGCCTGGGTGGCTCAGTTGGTAAAGCACCCAGACTTTTGATTTTGGCTCAGGTCATGATTTCATGGTTTGTGAGTTGGAGCCCCTTGTCTGCGCTGACAGTTCAGAGTCTGCTTGGAATTTTCTCTCTCTTTCTCTGCCCTTCCCCCATGCGTTCTCTCTTCTCTCTCTCAAAGTAAACATTTTCTTAAAAATTGACACACAAGAATTGAGCAAACTGTTAACATCACAAAAGAGGCAACCGGATTATGTTTATCACTTTTTTTTTTTT